CACATGAGTAAATGTCTATGCTCTTGACCACATGAGTACATGTCTATGCTCTTGACCATATGAGTAGATATCTATGCTCTTGACTAAATGAGTAAATGTCTATGCTCTTGACCACATCAGTCCCTTTCGCTGTTCTTGATCACACCAGTCATTGTCTATGCTCTTGGCCACATCAGTCCCCTTCGCTGTTCTTGAACACCCGAGTCATTGTATATGCTCTTGACCACACGAGTAAATGTCTATGCTCTTGACCACATGAGTAGATGTTTATGCTCTTCACCACATGAGTACATGTCTATGGACTTGAACACCCGAGTCATTGTCTATGCTCCTGTCCACATGAATAAATTTCTATGCTCTTGACCACACGAGTAAATGTCTATGCTTTGACCACAAGAGTAAATGTCTATGCTCTTGACCACATGAGTAGATGTCTATGCTCTTGACCACATGAGTAGATGTCTATGCTCTTGACCACATGAGTAGATGTCTATGCTCTTGACCACATGAGTACATGTCTATGCTCTTGACCTCAAGAGTAAATGTCTATGCTCTTGACCACATGAGTAAATGTCTATGCTCTCCACCACATGAGTAAATGACTATGCTCTTGACATCAAGAGTAGATGCCTATGCTCTTGACCACATGAGTAAATGTCTATGCTCTTGACCACATGAGTAAATGTCTATGCTCTTGACCTCAAGAGTAAATGTCTATGCTCTTGACCACATGAGTAGATGTTTATGCTCTTGACCACATGAGTAGATGTCTATGCTCTTGACCACATGAGTAGATGTCTATGCTCTTGACCACATGAGTAGATGTCTATGCTCTTGACCTCAATAGTAAATGTCTATTCTCTTGACCACATGAGTAGATATCTATGCTCTTGACCTCACGAGTAAATGTCTATGCTCTTGACCACACGAGCAGATGTCTATGCTCTTGACCTCAAGAGTAAATGTCTATGCTCTTGACCACATGGGTTAATGTCTATGCTCTTGACATCAAGAGTAAATGTCTATGCTCTTGACCACATTAGTAGATGTCTATGCTCTTGACCACATGAGTAGATGTCTATGCTCTGGACATCAAGATTAGATGCCTATGCTCTTGACCACATGAGTAAATGTCTATGCTCTTGACCACATGAGTAGATGTCTATGCTCTTGACCACATGAGTAGATGTCTATGCTCTTGACCACATGAGTAGATGTCTATGCTCTTGACCACATGAGTACATGTCTATGCTCTTGACCTCAAGAGTAAATGTCTATGCTCTTGACCACATGAGTAAATGTCTATGCTCTTGACCACATGAGTAGATATCTATGCTCTTGACTAAATGAGTAAATGTCTATGCTCTTGACCACATCAGTCCCTTTCGCTGTTCTTGATCACACCAGTCATTGTCTATGCTCTTGGCCACCTCAGTCCCCTTCGCTGTTCTTGAAAACCCGAGTCATTGTCTATGCTCTTGACCACACGAGTAAATGTCTATGCTCTTGACCACATGAGTAGATGTTTATGCTCTTCACCACATGAGTACATGTCTATGGCCTTGAACACCCGAGTCATTGTCTATGCTCCTGTCCACATGAATAAATTTCTATGCTCTTGACCACACGAGTAAATGTCTATGCTTTGACCACAAGAGTAAATGTTTATGCTCTTGACGACATGAGTAGATGTCTATGCTCTTGACCACATGAGTAAATGTCTATGCTCTTGACCACATGAGTAAATGTCTATGCTCTTGACCTCACGAGTAAATGTCTATGCTCTCCACCACATGAGTAGATGTCTATGCTCTTGACCACATGAGTAGATGTCTCTGCTCTTGACCACATGAGTAGATGTCTCTGCTCTTGACCGCGTCACTGTCCATGATCTGGACCATGTTGTGACACGCATAATGGCTAGTTTGGTTTTTGTTTGTCCCCGACAGACGTGTCTTGACAATCTTTACGCCGTAGTTGATTTGAAAAGGAAAACACGAAAAACTAAATTTGTAAAACGACGAGTATCAAGGAAAACGTAAATCAGCCGTTACCGTTAAACTAGATGACAGAAACTGTGTTTGTCACCACAATTAAACAGCCTCTATATATTGTGCAAATATGTACATGTATAATTGTATGACATAACTTTAAGTTCTGTTTTGTATCACATTGAGTGAATTGTTGTCATAATGCATAGATGAAATATTAACAATTTTACATGTGAACACCTTACTCATTGGATACATGTACGTACACTACTGCAGGTACGGACACAGCTGTTTACAATATAGGTGTAGGTACATTCCAGTACATCGGGTGTTCACAAGATACGTGTATGTAAACTCTACTGCAGGAACGGACACAGCTGTTTACAATATAGGTGTAGGTACATTCCAGTACACCGGGTGTTCACAAGATACGTGTACGTACTCTTTACTGCAGGAACGGACACAGCTGTTTACAATATAGGTGTTCGTACATTCCAGTACATCGGGTGTTCACAAGATACGTGTACGTACACTCTACTACAGGAACGGACACAGCTGTTTACAATCTAGGTGTACGTACATTCCAGTACACCGTGTGTTCACAAGATACGTGTATGTAAACTCTACTGCAGGAACGGACACAGCTGTTTACAATATAGGTGTACGTACATTCCAATACATCGGGTGTTCACAAGATACGTGTACGTACTATCTACTACAGGAACGGACACAGCTTTTCATTATATTCTGTTTTGTATCACGTTGTGTGGTGAATTGTTGTCATAATGAATGGATGAAATATTAACAATGAGTACATGTGAACACCTTACTCATTGGACACGCTGTATTACGAGAATGACATCAGGTGTTCACAAGATACGTGTACGTACAAACCTGTAGGAATGGACACAGCTGTTTACAGTAAAGGTGTACGTATATTTCAGTACAATCATAAATAAAAGGGAATAGGGTAGGATCCAGGAATTTTCGGGGTGGTGGGGGTGGGGGTGGGGGTGGTGTAACTACTTTAACAGTAACTACTTTTATAATTCTGAAAAGGTAAACTACGTCCTTTCGTGGAGTACACTTTAAAAAGTTAAAAGTTATAGAAGTAATCATACGGACTTTCATGGTCTGCTTCCGTATGAAGAAGTACTATCAGTCCTGCAACAATTTAACACATTCATAAACTCAAAGGGATTCACTCGCATCAATACACGATTTGGCAACAACTGCAAACGTCATCAAAACTTAGTAAAAAGGAAGTAATGAAACTAACGGACTCATTTTAAGAAAATTTCCCCTGTTAACTCAAATGCCTGGTTATGACTGAAAGATAGGTACGGGTACTCGAGGTTGTGGTGTTTGCCGAGGGCGGCGGGCCGTGAGATCACATGTACACAGTTTACATACATAAATATTCTACGCAATCCCTGTGTAGGTCGTTGGTATAAACCAGGAAGTTAGACGTTGTGGATGAAGATGGCACGATATCTGACAATGCCTGTGTACTCGTTATTGAACGACGAGCGTGAAGCACTCATTGACATTGAATAGTTGAAGCAGCGCGAAAATAGTTACAGCAACGAGAATATATAATCTTAACAGCAAGAAAATAGTTGACCAATTCGAATTACCGTGTGTTTTATTGTAAATAAACAACGAGCATGTGGAATGATCTTATCTGTTTATGAACTCGATTTTGTTTCTACAAAATCCGTTTCAAACATAAATATTTTGAAAGTTTTCTACAGTATCTACATGAAAAAATACTGTCGACACGAATCATACTAATCTAACATGTTGAATAATTTTAAATGGCTCTATGGTGCAAACAAAGATAAAATTTGTATTCTCTATCGAATACCAGGCAGAAAGTCATTTTAAAGATAGTAAAGAAAAAAGCCGAAAAAAAGAATGCCTCGAAGCCACTCATGACGTGAATGACCACCCATCAAGGCCGTGGAAGCACGTGACCGCTAGTGAACGATCAGGGTACAACAGCTCTGCCCTGACGTATGAGATTGACAGTTTGACAGCTGCGTGTACCCATATATAACGTCGGGTTTATATGTGAGCCGTGCGTCTTCACAGAGATTGTGATCCTATACTGGTGTGTCGGCTACAACACCCAAAATGGTATGTTTTCACTTTTTTTACAATATCCGTTTATTATTTTCCTTATGTGTCTTAAATATCAGGACTACATATGAATCTTTGTTTTAATTACCACTCTTCAAAACCATTGATGTACGTACATGTCAACTTTAGGGTTGTAATTTTCCTACCCACATAGCGTTAGTCTCGTGTAAAAGATACAAGCACAAAAAATCCTTAGTAAAACATACAACCATTGTTAGTTGTTAGCACAAACAGCCACACATTACACATACGCACGAACGCACGAACGCACAAACGCCCGCACATACATAGCCTGAACAAGCAGCATCATTCACCTGAAAGAGCAAGACTTACCTCCGAAAAATCGTGTTCAACAATAAAGAAGAAGTTGATATCCAAAATACTTCATAGTTCATCTCCTTAAATGCCGTTTAAAGAAATGGGGCGGTGTGATAGCCTAGTGGTTAAAGCGTTCACGCCGACGATCCGGGTTCGATTCCCCATATGGGCACAATGTGTGAAGCCCATTTATGGCATCCCCTGGCGTAATATTGCTGGAATATTGCTAAAAGCGGCATAAAGCCCAACTCACTCACTCACTCACGTTAAAGACGTAAAAACATCAATACGTTTTGTTTTTAAGTGTATTTTTACGAATCATTTTTCACAGATGTCCTCAGGCAACCTCGTGCTCCTACTGTGTGTCTGTCTGTGTGTCCAGTTGGCAGCTGGCCAGGTCGCGTGTCCACCCGGATGCAGATGCACCACCTCCAACAACAACATGAACTGCCAGCGCCTCTCCATCTTTCCCACTTACATTCCCCTCCTACATAACCACGGCCTATTTCTATTATTCAAACTTCAGGGAGATCCCCAGCGGAAGATTCTATGGAAGCCCCAATCTGAAATCTATAAGATTTAGTTATGGATCCCTGGGCACAATACAGAGCTGCGCGTTCTCCGATATCCAAGCTTCAGTGTCCTTCACCCGAGTAAACATCACCAACATCAGGGGAGGCGCCTTTAGCAACCTGGACAAAAAACATCTACCGTCAAATCACATTTTCCTATTCCAACATCACCACCATCGATTCCTACGCATTCCACAACCTGACTGGTTTGAACTCACTTACCTTCAGCTATGCCAAGATCTTCACCATCCAACCGTATGCTTTTAAGGACATCATCTACAGTCGGTCCTTGAGGATTCAGTACACCAACATCACAAATCTTCAGAGCTACGCCTTTGATCTACCTTCCAACAGCATCCAATCGTCCCAGATCTCCAGAGGCTCCGTCATGAACATCGGCTGCAACACCCTTGAGGAACTGACGTTGGTGCAGTACCTGACAACGCCGTGCAACTGTGACAACGTCGAGCTGTACAGACGCGGAACCAGGTTCTCCGGCAGACAGCACTGCTTTGCCCCCAACCAGACCCAGAACCTCACCCCAGGCAGCATCAACCGCTGTCAGCGTCCTGATGTCAGTGTGCCGAGTGCGTGCCCCGGGAGTTTCAATAATGTTGACACTGGCGCCACACCGACCGTCAGAGTGAGTATATTTTCGTGCCGTTCACGAATGTTTTGGTAGGTGTCAAATGTAAATGGTTAAGTTGCTGTTATATCCTTCGAGTGACGTCATACTATAGTTTTATGAGGAGAAGCATATTCCAGTTATGTTCTATATAAAGACGCAATTTCTCAAGAACACTCAGACTGTAGACAGTCATTGTCTCGGGAACAGTCTGTAAATACTCCTTCTGTCCCAGGGAGCTCCACAGACCATCCCTTTGTCCCAGGGATGGGCAAAAGAAAGTCCCCATGTCTCGGGAACAGTCTGTAGATACTCCTTCTGTCCCAGGGAACTCCACAGAACATCCCTTTGTCCCAGGCATAGGTAAAAGAAAGTCCTCATGTCTCGGGAACAGTCTGTAGAGATCCCTTCTGTCCCAGGGAGCTCCACAGAACATCCCTTTGTCCCAGGCATAGGCAAAAGAAAGTCATCATGTATCGGGAACAGTCTGTAGAGATCCCTTCTGTCCCAGGGAGCTCCACAGAACATCCCTTTGTCCCAGGGATAAGCAAAAGAAAGTCCTCATGTCTCGGGAACAGTCTGTAGACATCCCTTCCCCCCCAGGGAACTCCACAGAACATCCCTTTGTCCGAGGGATAGACTAAAGAAAGTCCTTTTGTCTCGGGAACAGTCTGTATACATTCTTTTTGTCTCAGGGAACTCCACATAACATCCCTATGTCCCAGGGATAGACTAAAGAAAGTCCTTTTGTCTCGGGAACAGTCTGTAGACATTCTTTTTGTCTCAGGGAGACTCCACAGAACATCCCTATGTCCCAGGGATAGGCAAAAGAAAGTCCTCATCTCTCGGGAACAGTCTGTAGATACTCCTTCTATCCGAGGGAACTCCACAGACCATCCCTATGTCCCAGGCATAGGCAAAAGAAAGACCCCATGTCTCGGGAACAGTCTGTAGATACTCCTTCTGTCCCAGGGAACTTCACAGACCATCCTTATGTCCCAGGGATAGGCAAATGAAAGTTCTCATGTCTCGGGAACAGTCTGTAGATATCCCTTCTGTCCCAGGGAACTCCACAGAACATCCCTTTGTCCCAGGGACAGGCAAAAGAAAGTCCTCATGTCTCGGGAACAGTCTGTAGATACTCCTTCTGTCCCAGGGAACTTCACAGACCATCCCCATGTCCGAGGGATAGGCAAAAGAAAGTCCCCATGTCTCGGGAACAGTCTGTAGATATCCCTTCTGTCCCAGAGAACTCCACAGAACATCCCTTTGTCCCAGGGATAGGCAAAAGAAAGTCCTCATGTCTCGGGAACAGTCTGTAGGGATCCCTTCTGTCCCAGGGAGCTCCACAGAACATCCCTTTGTCCCAGGGATAGGCAAAAGAAAGTCCTCATGTCTCGGGAACAGTCTGTAGAGATCCCTTCTGTCCCAGGGAACTCCACAGAGCATCCCTATGTCCGAGGGATAGGCAAAAGAAAGACACCATGTCTTGGGAACAGTCTGTAGATACTCCTTCTATCCCAGGGAACTCCACAGACCATCCCTATGTCCGAGGGATAGGCAAATGAAAGTTCTCATGTCTCGGGAACAGTCTGTAGATATCCCTTCTGTCCCAGGGAACTCCACAGAACATCCCTTTGTCCCAGGGACAGGCAAAAGAAAGTCCTCATGTCTCGGGAACAGTCTGTAGATACTCCTTCTGTCCCAGGGAACTTCACAGACCAACCCCATGTCCCAGGGATAGGCAAAAGAAAGTCCCCATGTCTCGGGAACAGTCTGTAGATATCCCTTCTGTCCCAGAGAACTCCACAGAACACCCCTTTGTCCCAGGGATAGGCAAAAGAAAGTCCCCGTGTCTCGGGAACAGTCTGTAGGGATCCCTTCTGTCCCAGGGAGCTCCACAGAACATCCCTTTGTCCCAGGGATAGGCAAAAGAAAGTCCTCATGTCTCGGAACAGTCTGTAGATACTCCTTCTGTCCCAGGGAACTTCACAGACCATCCCCATGTCCGAGGGATAGGCAAAGAAAGTCCCCATGTCTCGGGAACAGTCTGTAGATATCCCTTCTGTCCAAGGGAACTCCACAGAACATCCCTTTGTCCCAGGGATAGACAAAAGAAAGTCCCCATGTCTCGGAAACAGTCTGTAGGGATCCCTTCTGTCCCAGGGAGCTCCACAGAACATCCCTTTGTCCCAGGGATAGGCAAAAGAAAGTCCTCATGTCTCGGGAACAGTCTGTAGAGATCCCTTCTGTCCCAGGGAACTCCACAGAGCATCCCCATGTCCGAGGGATAGGCAAAAGAAAGTCCTCATGTCTCGGGAACAGTCTGTAGATATTCCTTCTGTCCCAGGGAGCTCCACAGAACATCAATATGTCCGAGGGATAGGCTAAAGAAAGTCCTTTTGTCTCGGGAACAGTCTGTAGACATTCTTTTTGTCTCAGGGACCTCCACAGAACATCCCTATGTCCCAGGGATAGACTTAAGAAAGTCCCCATGTCTCGGGAACAGTCTGTAGACATTAATTCTGTCTCAGGGATCTCCACAGAACACCCCTATGTCTCAGGGATAGACTAAAAGAAAGTCCTTATGTCTCGGGAACAGTCTGTAGACATTCTCATTGTCTCAGGGAACTCCACAGAACATCCCTTTGTCCCAGGGATAGGCAAACGAAAGTCCCCATGTCTCGGGAACAGTCTGTAGATATTCCTTCTGTCCCAGGCAACTCCACAGAACATCCCTATGTCCCAGGGATAGGCAAAGAAAAGTCCTTCTGTTTCGGGAACAGTCTGTAGACATCCCTTCTGTCCCAGGGAACTCCACAGAACATCCCTTTGTCCGAGGGATAGACTAAAGAAAGTCCCCATGTCTCGGGAACAGTCTGTATACATTCTTTTTGTCTCAGGGACCTCCACAGAACATCCCTATGTCCCAGGGATAGACTAAAGAAAGTCCCCATGTCTCGGGAACAGTCTGTAGACATTCCTTCTGTCCCAGGGAGCTCCACAGAACACCCCTATGTCCCAGGGATAGACTAAAGAAAGTCCTTATGTCTCGGGAACAGTCTGTAGACATTCTTTTTGTCTCAGGGAACTCCACAGAACATCCCTTTGTCCCAGGGATAGGCAAAAGAAAGACACCATGTCTTGGGAACAGTCTGTAGATACTCCTTCTATCCCAGGGAACTCCACAGACCATCCCTATGTCCGAGGGATAGGCAAATGAAAGTTCTCATGTCTCGGGAACAGTCTGTAGATATCCCTTCTGTCCCAGGGAACTTCACAGAACATCCCTTTGTCCCAGGGACAGGCAAAAGAAAGTCCTCATGTCTCGGGAACAGTCTGTAGATACTCCTTCTGTCCCAGGGAACTTCACAGACCAACCCCATGTCCGAGGGATAGGCAAAAGAAAGTCCCCATGTCTCGGGAACAGTCTGTAGATATCCCTTCTGTCCCAGAGAACTCCACAGAACACCCCTTTGTCCCAGGGATAGGCAAAAGAAAGTCCCCGTGTCTCGGGAACAGTCTGTAGGGATCCCTTCTGTCCCAGGGAGCTCCACAGAACATCCCTTTGTCCCAGGGATAGGCAAAAGAAAGTCCTCATGTCTCGGGAACAGTCTGTAGATACTCCTTCTGTCCCAGGGAACTTCACAGACCATCCCCATGTCCGAGGGATAGGCAAAAGAAAGTCCCCATGTCTCGGGAACAGTCTGTAGATATCCCTTCTGTCCAAGGGAACTCCACAGAACATCCCTTTGTCCCAGGGATAGGCAAAAGAAAGTCCCCATGTCTCGGAAACAGTCTGTAGGGATCCCTTCTGTCCCAGGGAGCTCCACAGAACATCCCTTTGTCCCAGGGATAGGCAAAAGAAAGTCCTCATGTCTCGGGAACAGTCTGTAGAGATCCCTTCTGTCCCAGGGAACTCCACAGAGCATCCCCATGTCCGAGGGATAGGCAAAAGAAAGTCCTCATGTCTCGGGAACAGTCTGTAGATATTCCTTCTGTCCCAGGGAGCTCCACAGAACATCAATATGTCCGAGGGATAGGCTAAAGAAAGTCCTTTTGTCTCGGGAACAGTCTGTAGACATTCTTTTTGTCTCAGGGACCTCCACAGAACATCCCTATGTCCCAGGGATAGACTTAAGAAAGTCCCCATGTCTCGGGAACAGTCTGTAGACATTAATTCTGTCTCAGGGATCTCCACAGAACACCCCTATATCTCAGGGATAGACTAAAGAAAGTCCTTATGTCTCGGGAACAGTCTGTAGACATTCTCATTGTCTCAGGGAACTCCACAGAACATCCCTTTGTCCCAGGGATAGGCAAACGAAAGTCCCCATGTCTCGGGAACAGTCTGTAGATATTCCTTCTGTCCCAGGCAACTCCACAGAACATCCCTATGTCCCAGGGATAGGCAAAAGAAAGTCCTTCTGTTTCGGGAACAGTCTGTAGACATCCCTTCTGTCCCAGGGAACTCCACAGAACATCCCTTTGTCCGAGGGATAGACTAAAGAAAGTCCCCATGTCTCGGGAACAGTCTGTATACATTCTTTTTGTCTCAGGGACCTCCACAGAACATCCCTATGTCCCAGGGATAGACTAAAGAAAGTCCCCATGTCTCGGGAACAGTCTGTAGACATTCCTTCTGTCCCAGGGAGCTCCACAGAACACCCCTATGTCCCAGGGATAGACTAAAGAAAGTCCTTATGTCTCCTGGAACAGTCTGTAGACATTCTTTTTGTCTCAGGGAACTCCACAGAACATCCCTTTGTCCCAGGGATAGGCAAAAGAAAGTCCTCATGTCTCGGGAACAGTCTGTAGATACTCCATCTGTCCCAGGGAACTCCACAGAACATCCCTTTGTCCGAGGGATAGGCAAAAGAAAGTCCCCATGTCTCGGTAACAGTCTGTAGATACTCCTTCTATCCCAGGGAACTCCACAGACCATCCCTATATCCGAGGGATAGGCAAATGAAAGTCCTCATGTCTCGGGAACAGTCTGTAGATATCCCTTCTGTCCCAGGGAGCTCCACAGAACATCCCTTTGTCCCAGGGATAGGCATGGAAAGTCCTCATGTCTCGGGAACAGTCTGTAGATACTCCATCTGCCCCAGGGAACTCCACAGACCATCCCTTTGTCCGAGGGATAGGCAAAAGAAAGTCCTCATGTCTCGGGAACAGTCTGTAGATACTCCTTCTATTCCAGGGAACTCCACAGACCATCCCTATGTCTGAGGGATAGGCAAATGAAAGTCCTCATGTCTCGGGAACAGTCTGTAGATATCCCTTCTGTCCCAGGGAACTCCACAGAACATCCCTTTGTCCCAGGGATAGGCAAAAGAAAGTCATCATGTCTCGGGAACAGTCTGTAGATACTCCTTCTGTCCCAGGGAACTTCACAGACCATCCCTATGTCCCAGGGATAGGCAAAAGAAAGTCCCCATGTCTCGGAAACAGTCTGTAGATATCCCTTCTGTCCCAGGGAACTCCACAGAACATCCCTTTGTCCCAGGCATAGGCAAAAGAAAGTCCTCATGTCTCGGGAACAGTCTGTAGAGATCCCTTCTGTCCCAGGGAGCTCCACAGAACATCCCTTTGTCCCAGGGATAGGCAAAAGAAAGTCCTCATGTCTCGGGAACAGTCTGTAGATACTCCTTCTGTCCCAGGGAACTCCACAGAACATCCCTATGTCCCAGGGATAGGCTAAAGAAAGTCCTTTTGTCTCGGGAACAGTCTGTAGACATTCTTTTTGTCTCAGGGACCTCCACAGAACATCCCTTTGTCCCAGGCATAGGCAAAAGAAAGTCCTCATGTATCGGGAACAGTCTGTAGATATCCCTTCTGTCCCAGGGAGTTCCACAGAACATCCCTTTGTCCCAGGGATAGGCAAAAGAAAGTCCTCATGTCTCGGGAACAGTCTGTAGACATCCCTTCTGTCCCAGGGAACTCCACAGAACATCCCTTTGTCCCAGGGATAGGCAAAAGAAAGTCCTCATGTCTCGGGAACAGTCTGTAGATATTCCTTCTGTCCCAGGGAACTCCACAGAACATCCCTATGTGCCAGGGATAGGCTAAAGAAAGTCCTTTTGTCTCGGGAACAGTCTGTAGACATTCTTTTTGTCTCAGGGACCTCCACAGAACATCCCTATGTCCCAGGGATAGACTAAAGAAAGTCCTTTTGTCTCGGGAACAGTCTGTAGACATTCCTTCTGTCCCAGGGAGCTCCACAGAAGACCCCTATGTCCCAGGGATAGACTAAAGAAAGTCCTCATGTCTCGGGAACAGTCTGTAGACATTCTTATTGTCTCAGGGAACTCCACAGAACATCCCTTTGTCCCAGGTATAGGCTAAAGAAAGTCCCCATGTCTCGGGAGCAGTCTGTAGATACTCCTTCTGTCCCAGGGAACTCCACAGACCATCCCTTTGTCCGAGGGATAGGCAAATGAAAGTCCTCATGTCTCGGGAACAGTCTGTAGATATCCCTTCTGTCCCAGGGAAATCCACAGAACATCCCTTTGTCCCAGGGATAGGCAAAAGAAAGTCCTCATGTCTCGGGAACAGTCTGTAGATATTCCTTCTCTCCCAGGGAACTCCACAGAGCATCAATATGTCCCAGGGATAGGCTAAAGAAAGTCCTTTTGTCTCGGGAACAGTCTGTAGACATTCTTTTTGTCTCAGGGACCTCCACAGAACATCCCTGTGTCCCAGGGATAGACTAGACAAAGTCCCCATGTCTCGGGAACAGTCTGTAGACATTCCTTCTGTCCCAGGGAACTCCACAGAACACCCCTATGTCTCAGGGATAGACTAAAGAAAGTCCTCATGTCTCGGGAACAGTCTGTAGACATTCTTATTGTCTCAGGGAACTCCACAGAACATCCCTTTGTCCCAGGTATAGGCTAAAGAAAGTCCCCATGTCTCGGGAACAGTCTGTAGATACTCCTTCTGTCCCAGGGAACTCCACAGACCATCCCTATGTCCGAGGGATAGGCAAAAGAAAGTCCCCATGTCTCGGGAACAGTCTGTAGAGATCCCTTCTGTCCCATGGAACTCCACAGAACATCCCTTTGTCCCAGGGATAGGCAAAAGAAAGTCCTCATGTCTCGAGAACAGTCTGTAGACATTCCTTCTGTCCCAGGGAACTCCACAGAACACCCCTATGTCCCAGGGATAGACTAAAGAAGGTCCTTATGTCTCGGGGACAGTCTGTAGACATTCTTTTTGTCTCAGGGAGCTCAACAGAACATCCCTTTGTCCCAGGGATAGGCTAAAGAAAGTCCTTCTGTTTCGGGAACAGTCTGTAGATACTCCTTCTGTCCCAGGGAACTCCACAGAACATCCCTTTGTCCCAGGGATAGGCTAAAGAAAGTCCTTTTGTCTCGGGAACAGTCCCAGGGAGACTGTGTAGAAAGTCCAGGGATAGGCTAAGCTAGTCCCGCTGCCTCACAAACAGTAAGCAGCAAGTCCTTCTGTCCAAGGATGCTTTGTAAAGAGACCCTCTGGCCAAGTGATAGGGTACGAAAACGTCCCAGCGTCTCAAGAATAGTCTGTAGAAGTGCTCCTGTCACTGGAATATTCTGTGAAGAGTCTGTCTGTCACAGGGACATTGACCATGTCGCTCGTTAGATGTAATTTCCATTAGAACACACTGTCCGAAAAATTATAAAGAGAAACATCAAATCAGTAGGGCTGTAACGAGGCATCGAACTATCGGTGGATTGCAATTGTTGAGTCTCCGATAGCACTTAATCGAGGGTAGAAACGAAAACTGTGACTATAGATAATTGGCTTTCGTTGATAAACGTGCAGCGCAAAATAGAGGATGTTTGGGTGCAGACTTGCTGCTTCATTGAGGTCATGTGCTAACTGTTTACTTGATCTGGGTTTCAAGTTTCTTGTCAGTTATTAAAAGAGACTGAAACGACTTCAACTTGTTCTCATTTCACATAAACCATACATTTATTTAGAAAATGACTTCAATTGAGACAATTCAATGATAAAAAAAGCTATTGCAATGGTATTGCAATAGTTGGTCGCTATCGCAATGGTTGTTTCCCTTTCAGTAAACCCCTTGACAATTAAGGAATCGATACTCTATGTTTTTTTCACATGTAAATATTTTAACTAGGGCTACCAATGTATTTCACTGTTCTGATTCTTTCAGCCTCCTATCCCAACAAGTGGCAACTGCACCCGTGAACAGATCCGCCTCCAGTTGGCCAATCAAAACTACAGGGAGGCGCTGGCCTGCTTCCGGTTCAACTTCGACATGTCGGACAACAACCTCAGCTTCAAATTCGACATGTTCCTTAATTGAAGTAGGGCTTAATCTTTGGCCTGTTTCATAAACGTATCATGCTGATATGAAGAAACAATAAATATAAAACAATAAATATGAATTTGGTTGTGTTTTGTCAACTTGTAATACAAAACAGTGCAGCAGGAGAAGCAGTAGCAGTAGCAGCAGCAGCAGCAGAAGCAATAGTAGCTGCAGTAGTTGTACAAGCTGTAGTAGTAGTGAGGAATCGAACCCGGGTCTTCGGTGTGACGATCGAACGCTTTAACCACGCCCCCCACTCCCCCAGCTACATGGTGGCAGTGTGTAAATAATCGATTTGGGTGATCCTCATTTTTATTGTTTTACGACAAGCAGGAGAGACGTCTCCTAAACAGTATTGGTGGGTGGGTGGGTGAGTGAGTGAGTAACGCCAAGAAACCCTGTACGTGAAACGCTGGGCTGTGTGCTAGAGTGAGTGAGTTTAGTTTTACACAGCACTCAGCAATATTCCTGATATATGGCGGCGGCCTGTAGATAATCGAGTCAGGATCAGACAATCCAGTGATCAACAGCATGAGCACCGATCTACGATACGATGACAGCGAGCCTGACCACCCGATCCCGTTAGTCGCCACTTACGAGAAGCATGGGTTAGTCATTAATTCTAACCCGGATCTTTACGGTGCTGTGCACTAAAAATTTGCCAATGACATGTGATTGTTTTCAAATTAATGGAAAAAAACAACTAGGCTTCATTAACAAAGAGGCAAATAAAAATAGCACATGTTAAGAAAAGTTCCTTAGAAATAATAGAACTAAGAGTGTCATCATAATGTTTAGTGTGTTGACAAACGTGACACATCGAGACATACAGACAAAAGTTCAAACAGCACTAGCAAACATCAGCTGTATAGACCAGACACCCTAAAAATGAAAATGACATGACCTCCTCGCGCGCCTAAGACACAGCTGGTCATTTTGTTCTCGTGCTCCTTATCAAGTTCATAAAGGAAGCTTGCGGAATCGCATTCCATTCCTTCTACTAGAGCTCTGTGGAGTCCTGGGAGATCCACTGGTGCTGGGTGACGTTTGTACGAGTTCATCTCAGGCATGGTTAATTGGGTTGAGGTCTGGCGAGCATGCTGACTACTCCATTCACTCTACACCCTGCTGCCTAAGGAATTCCGTGACAATCTTGGCCCTATGAGGCCTAGCGTTGTCGTCTTGCTGTATAGAAGGTCGACCATGAAAAACCATGCATAGCTTGCAACAATGGTACTGCTATAGGAGCCAGAATCTCGTCCCGATAACGCTGTCCAATACGATTACTGTCGACCACGTGCAGTGGAGTACGTCCGGTAGGCGTTATCCCTGCCCAAACCATGACCGACCCAACCCCCCCAAACACACACCTGTGTTGCCTAAGTTGACGTTTTCAGTAAGAATAGGGTCATAAGAGATGCAAGACGTTTACACAACGGCTCTCTTGTGTTGCCTAAGTTGACGTTTTCAGTAAGAATAGGGTCATGAGAGATGCAAGACATTTACATGACGGCTCTCTTGCTTCCAACTGAGTGTTTTCTCGGACGATCTTGCGGACTTGTTTTGGAGATTTTACGTGCGCTGTCCACAGTTTTTAGGTAATGAAATTATTAACAGCAACGAGTTTCAGAACAATATATTGACATACAACTAATCAATTTTAAACTTCAACGCTGTGATTACATTTCACTTCACTTGGAATGATTCAGTCTGACGTTTCTAAGGTCCTTCATATTTGCTCAACGTATTCGTTTTAACATTCTTCGGTTTGCTGGAGATATTTTGTTCAACTATTTTGGGACTTATTATAACTGAACTTAAATGTTATTTATTTAATTGCCTATTCAGGAAGTGAGTGAGTGAGTTTGGGTTTACGCCGCTTTTAGCAATATTCCAGCAATGTCACGACAGGGGACACCATTCATTGACTTCACATATTGCACCCATGTGGGGATCGAACCTGGGTCTTCAGCGTCACGAGCAAACGCTTTAACCACTAGGCTACTTATTCAGGAAGTAAAACTCCCATTTACAAATTGACAAGTGCTTGACAACGACATTAGAATCTATGTTGAAACGTCGCCTATACAGAATAAAGAAGTTGTATATCCATAAGAATAGTCCTCATTCTTCATTTACCCAACTTCTAGTATGCCAAAAAGCCAATCAAAGAAGTGATTGATTGACTGAATGGTTGGTTCGTTAGTTGGTTAGATTGGTTGGTTGGTTGATTGGTTGATTGGTTGGTTGATTATTGGTTGGTTGGTTGGTTGATTGGTTGATTGGTTTGGTTGGTTGCTTTAATTTCGGTTGACTGGTTAAATTTGGTTGATTGGTTGGTTGGTTGGTTGATTGGTTGGCTGGCTGGCTGGCTGGTTGGTTGGTTGGTTGGTTGATTGTTTGTTTTGGTTGATTGGTTGGTTGGCTGGCTGGTTTGATTTGTTTGTTTTGTTTGCTGGTTTGGTTTGTTTTGTTGGTTGGTTGGTTGGTTGATAGGTTGGTGGGTTGATTGATCAACTATTAAAGCTATATGACGGCGATATGATAATCGGAGAGTCTGAACCAGTGATGCAGAGGGGCGTAAACAGCGGGTTTATTTCTGTTTGATCAATGTAATTAATTATATCATGACACTGTGATCAGTCGGGCTGTAGCTAGTTATTGACTACATGTATGAAAACGCTACTGCATCACAAGTGCCCGAATGTTTTGAACTCAATAAAATGACATCTAAATCCATACCATACGTTGTTATGACACATGTGTATGAAGTTTCCTTACAAAATTACCACCAATAGTGAGTGAGTTGGGTTTTACGCCCCCTTTTAGCAATATGTCAACAATATGACGGCAGGAGGACACCAGAAAAGGGCTTCTCACATTGCACACATGCGGGGAATCGAACAAACAATTTTACACAAGAGTAAGAACATAAGATAACACAGTTCACGACTGCCTCTTGAAGGAGTCACAGTTGTTTACCAAGCAAATGGGGAGATAGTTTTGAAAGAAATTATTGTGCAATGACTTTCTCTCTCTTTCGTCAATGTCGCAAATTTAAACACTTCGGTGTAAGTTATGTCCCTTTGACCTACGGATTTTGATATTGAAAACTTTGGTGGTTCGTCGAAAATATATAAGTTTTTTGTTGTTTATTCTTTAACACAAGGGGCTGTAAGGGTAGCGTAGTGGTTAATGCGTTCCCTCGTCACGCCGAAGACACGGGTTCGATTCCATACATGGGTACAATGTTTGAAGCCCTTTCTGGTGTTCCTCAGCTGCGTTACTGCTGGAATATTGCTAAAAGCGGCGTAAAATCATACTCATTCACTCATTGTTCAACAAAAACTCATGATTTTTGTTTATTTTCAAAATCAGCAGATTCGTAAATCATGCAAATACACATATAGATCCCAATGTAGCATTAACATTCATTTTGAAGCTAAGGGGCAAAGGAAGAATAACTATAAAATTTGATGTTATAAAAATATTGCAAATGTTATTTTTAACGTACTAAGCTGAAAACCTCAAGAGAAAACTTAAGGTCTCAAACAAAACTGTGATGCCACTATCAAATACATCACCATCGGATTACCATGTCTTGTTTTGCTTCAATTGTAGCCACCACCAAACATAGAAGTGTAGCTTTCTTTATTCCGCCAGTTAAGTTTTTCCGTGACAAGGCTCACTTTAAAGACAGCAAATATTTGTGATAACTATTCAGAAACAATGTTAGTTTACATAACTTGTTTGTTTCTCTGTTGATTAATGCCAACTCAGCAATATTCAAGCCATATGGCGGCGGACTGTAAATAATCGAGTCTGGGCCAGACAATCCAGTGATCAACATCACGAGCATCGGTCTACGTACTTGGGATACGATGACATATGTTAACCAAGTCAGCAAGCCTGACCACCCGATCCCCTTTAGTGACCTCTTTATGACAGGGTATGAGTAGCTGAAGACCAATTTCGTCACCCGGATCTTCACGGGTCTAGTTTACACAATCCAAGGCACCAGCTAATTACAACGACTGGACCTAACATGGAATCGTTGAGCATGTACCTCAAAGAGTGGGTATGTTGGATATATTGGCGCCGCCCTTATGACTACAAACCCGTGAAGATCCGGGTTAGGATTTGTCTTCAGCAACCCGACTACTCGTAAGAGGAGACAAACGGGATCGGGTGGTCAGGTTCGCTGACTTGGTTGACTTATCCCATTTGGGTAGAACGATGCTCATGCTGTTGATCACTGAATCCGATTTCCGATTTGAATTTTAAAACACCCAAGGGATTTTTGTTCAACCCATAACTTGACCACAATTGAATGGATTGTTTTCAAATTTGGGGATCAACCACTATATCTATAGGAGTGATACAGTGCAAAGTTGTATTTTGATATTTTTAATTTATTACAAATTATCACAAATTTCATTTCTTAAACTCGGAAAAACGTCCCTTAAATCTATTCAAACAATAACTTGACCATCAGTTCATGGATTGTTTCAACATTTCAGTAATGGATTCTTTGTTTATAGGAAAGGTGCAGTGCAATACAGATTTTGAGTTCGTCAAGAATAAACATTTGTAATTGTTGTACAGCTGAGGTTGGGCGTCACGGGTCGGTGGTATAAGTGAGGCTTTATTTTTTGGCCTGTTGCTACGTTAAGCAAGGTCCACTAATACCCCGACCGTAACTTCAAACTTCAGCTGAACAACAATTACAAATGTTTATTATTGATAAAACTCCTGTATTATTGATTATTCTTGACAACAATACAATTGGTATTAGTGAACCTGTTTGGGCTTGTTGCTGCGTTAAGGAAGCGGTAGGGCAGCCATGGTTGGCCCGTCGCGCCGAAGACTCGGGTTCGCTTCCCTCATGGATACAATGTATGAATCCCATTTCTGGTGTCCCCCGCCGTGATATTGCTGGAATATTGCTTTCAAAGCGTGAATCTAAATCCCACCGAATAGCTACCACGATACCTTCTCGTCAATGTACGAAATACGCTGGCGGGTTACGTGGGAGCGTGAAAACCTGTCGTGAACTGGTCAGCGACA